ACCAGGGCTCAGATAAACAGATGGATAGATAGACTATCACAATAAGAGGAAGCAGATGTAATGGAACGCTGCTAGGGAGACAGATAAAAGTGGGTTCAAATCCCAGCTTTGCCACTAGGCAGCTAAGTAACCTTGGACAAGTCACTTAACCTACCTAGGCCTCAGTTTCCTATAAAGGACGGATAATGTCTACTTTACAAGGTTGTTGTGAGCATCAGATACAATAATACAGAAGGCCAAGCATGGTGCCCAACACATAATAGGGTTTTAGTCACTGTGAGCCATGAAGATGGAATTCTTGCACTTTTTAAGTCTTGTATGTAATTCTTTTAAGTCTGGAAATCTTTGAAGCTTAAGTACCAAAAGTATTGACTTTAAATGGATAATAATTTGAGTAGAAGGAATAACATCTCACATCATTCTTGAAGAGACAAAGGAGAAATACCTGATGAATTTTGGCAAAAAATAAAAATTATAGTAAAAATACTATTGATCTTTATTTCTCAAAAAAATTGCTTTTCAATGCCTTAGCGGGGGAAAACCCCTGAACTAAATACATTGTAGTAAGGAAGGGGCAATAGCAAAATAAGGAGACGTCAAAAATAATCATGAGAAATACCGAATCCCCATCCTCACCCACCCTCATCCACTAAGTGGCCAAGTAAAGGGGAATTCCCCAGCCCACAATCCCTCATCCACAATCCAAAGTCCACAAAGCTTTGGAAACCAAAAGTACTTTGTAGCACAAGCGCGGCAGCAACGCCTGACTTGAACTAACATCAAGCTGCCCGTAGTTCTCAGCATCTCGTTTAGTGTGAAGAGCCACGCGCTTCATCACAGGAAACAGATATGTTAATGTGTTTGATGACACTTCTGGGGCCTTATATGTACTAAGCACTGTATTGTCTTCCTAAACTCTGAAATATTCTGAATTCTGAAACACATCTAGCTCCAAGGGTTTTAGTCAAGGGTTTGCAAACCCAGAGAGGAAGGACATGCCATCCCCTTGCAGGCTTAAGCCAGTGCTTTCAA